TAGGAAGTCACATTAAAAGGTACGGGTACATCATTTTTGTCAAATTACCACATGTTGTTGGTCTGCTATTCATTATTCCTATTATTTGTATACATTGATGCCTCATCCTCCTGTCTATCCTATGGCTGCAAAGATGAAGATATGTGGAAATTATTAAATCCACAATAAAATCTACACTTTATCAATACAAAATCAATGATGAAAATAAGGGCAATGACTTAACATATTCTATTGATGATCAATTACTTTGGGAAACTCTACTATTAATAATTAGAGGAAATACAATTTATTAATAGCTTCAGCCCAAGAGCAAAATTATGTTGCATACAGAAAACAAACTGGAATCGCAATTAGACTCCCTGGTAATCAGACTAGATAAATCTGATACAGACATAGCAGAAAATGATATACTAAAAGAAATTAACAAAATTAGTACTTATTTAGATGACATCAGTCAAAGCTAAATGGATAGAGAAGAGGGCGAAAAAAACCAACAAAATACTTCTTGAAACTTGAAGCCAGACATTTCTTAAATAAATCCTTTCCCCATCTATTTTGGGACTGTGAAATTGTTCAAGATATCTGGAAAACCTCCAGTCATGGCTCTTAACTCCTTGAATATTCCGTTATATTTCACAAAACAGAATGTTTTACTTGCAATCAAAGGAAAAATAACAATCCAATAATGCCATAATACTGTGAAGCAAGTTATCTTTAGACACAGCAGAGAATTCAGCTGTACCCTTTATCAGTCATGAAAGGGGAGATAATCAAAGTATTTTATGACGAGTACAAGATATGTTTATTCCTCCTCTTGTGGTATTGACAGATTTCTTTTTTCCTTTGGTCATCTCTACATGCGCTCTTCCACCATTATGAGGAGAGGGATAAATAATTTGTTATATAAAATGTTATCCTTATTTCTTATATATATACAATGCATACCACCTACCACCCTACCCCCTCCACACTCATGCAGGCATGCATGTGTCCGTCCGTCCCCACCTACCTACCTACCTACCTACCTACCTACCTACCTACCTACCTACCTACGTACGTACGTACGTACGTACGTACGTACGTACGTACGTACGTACATACATACATACATACATACATACATACATACATACATACATACACATACATACATACATACATACATACATACATACATACATACATACATACATACATACGCCGAATTGTGTTCATTCAACAGAGACTGATACATTTTGATTGATATCTTGAGGAAACTTGCGGGATGTTGCACAACAACAAACACTGTCTTGAAGACGCGTAACAGGTCGTACAATCAGTTCTTTCTTAACGGAAGGGGTGGTGGGTTGGGGTGGGAGGCATTATCAATGCAGTTAAATAGATTGGTATCTGCACTATCAGTTGAAAGAAACACAGGTCATCTTTGAATTCATCTTTGACTCCTTTTAGCAAAATCTGTGTGTTGCTTTAGAATGAATTAGTTTTAGCCAACTATGGATATCATATTTACTGTGATCTGTTTATATCTATAATTGAATCAAGAAGTGCAGAATTACAGAATTTCTTTCCAATACAGTTAAAACTGAAGATATGGGCATAATAGGCTTGATCTGTCGCTGAAGTAATGTATGAATTGACATGTAGCCTAACTGTAGATTTGGTCACAAAGACGTAGAAAAGAGGAAGCTTATTTGGTTTTCTTCACTGTTACAGGCATATTTGGATAAACTGTTGTCTGGACAGTTGTCCAAGTATAACTGAAATGCGTGTGAAGCAACCTAATGACTGTTTGCAAAGCATCTTCAGTGTCTTCCACTAGACTGTACCTGTTTCGTTCTATTTCAATAAAGATTTCTAGAAACGTCTGCTTATGTGATATTCTTATAAAAAACAAAATGTACAAATATAAAAAAGCGACATTCATATCATATGTGAGGTGAGTGAGTTTAGTTTTACGCCGAACTCAGCAGTATTCCAGCTATATGGCGGCGGTCTGTAAATAATCGAGTCTGGACCACACAATCCAGTGATCAACAGCATGAGCATCGATCTGCGCAATTGGAAACCGATGACATGTGTCAACCAAGTAATCTGGGCATCCCGGTTCAAGGCAAGCAAACCTATTCACTGCGCGTGCATTATGTGCGCAGCGCAGTACAGCCGCTGTTGAAAGCACTTTTCACCCCAGCTGGGGAATGTTTGTCGTAAAGGCGACTATAACGGGATCGGGTGATCAGGCTCGCTGACTTTAGTTGACATGTCATCGGTTCCCAATTGCGCAGATCGATGCTCTGCTATTGATCACTGAATGTCAGTCAGACGTTTCGATATCACTGAACCGTCGCCATATAGCTGGAATATTGCTGAGTGCGGCGTAAAACTAAACTCACATCCACATATGTGGCCTTCGCCCAGGCGACATCAACAAGCTACAGCACGTGACGGGCGTTAGTATTTCTACATTCGACCCTGGTAGCATGAAATGATACTGGTATTTTGCTTTTCAATAAAATCATAGGGGCGGTGGGGTAGGCAGGTGGGTGAAGCCTTTGCTCGTCACGCCGAAGACCGGGTTCGATATCCCACGTAGGTACAATGAGGGAAGCCCTTTTCTGTTGTCGCCCGCCGTGATATTGCTGGAATATTGCTAAAAGCGGCGTAAAACCCAGTTAATTACTCACTCCCGCACTCAATAAAACATACAAATGAATAAAGAAGTACTGTTACGTCACGAGAGTCCCAATGAAATATATGGAAGAACACTTGTAAACATGGTAGAAACGTTAATAAAATACTTATATATTTTATTTAACACCTCTTTTAGAAGTATATTTTAGTATGAATTTGTTAATGTGAGTTTTACTCCTCTTATAACGGTAGTTCAGTTATATTAGCGCATATGAGCTTGATGTGGAAGCAAAACCAGAGCTGATGCTGCAGAATTGATGCGTTTCCCACCTTGCTTATACACTTACGGAATTTGCTTCTGGGGATTGTTAAAACTGGGTGTTCTTTGGCACTGACGTTCTTTATAGGAACAACCATGGGTATGTTGCTGAAAGTCCCTGGAAAATAATCATGAGGAATCAAAGATTCGTACCCTCGTTCAGTTCACAGAAACATTAACATATCTTTTAAAACTGTATTGTACTATGAATTTGTTAATGTGTAAGTTTTACTCCACTTATGACAGTATATCAGTTCATAGATTTCTGGCAAGCACAAGGGACGTAACTCTGTACAGCTAAGTGCAGTGTCCTGGCGGGCTTGGCTCCCTATGCATTAAATATACTAATACTGGAAATCTTAAATTATGAATGAATACTTTTGGCGACTGCAATTGAAAATTGACAAAAGTCATAAAAACTTGTGCACACAATTCTCACTTAGAATCATAACAAACATTCGAGTGTAAGCAAATGCCATTCATATTTATTGTTTGGCTGATGTTATTCATATAACCGAAATACCTCATGTAAGTTCGCTATAACCGTAGTTCGACTAAAATATAGGCAATATCTGTCAGTTATAAGCCTGTTCGTTCTAAACAATGCATAAACCCATGCTCGTAATCATGTCGACATATATGTGTGTTTCTATAGGGATGGTCACTATGTGGCTGAAACAATGACGATGCGACGTAAAACTTCAACTCACTCACTCACTCACTCACTCACTATAGGGATGGCGATGATTATGAGGTATCTCTATGACTCGTTATTAACAATTCGGTTCTGTTTGTTAACAGTTATGTGTAGGTTAGACGTGTTAAACATAACTACATCTGTTATATTTTGTCGTTTTATTCTTCATGAGTGTTGTCTGATTCATATATAATTAATGTGTACTAGCATCAAGATGCCTATATCTGTGTGCAGGCTGGACGTTTTTTCTTTAAAACTTCAGAATGGAAAAGGTATTGAAATAAGCCTTGGAAAAGGTTTTTCGAAATGTGATGTCATATATGATGTTTACGGTATGACATCGGTTAGAGAGGACCATTCTGATAATGTCAACGCAAAGGGCATCTCCAGGCACCCGTCTTCTACTCACTTTGGAGGGGCGGGGGATAGCCTAGTGGTTAAAGCGTTCGCTCGTCACGCCGAAGACCGGGTTCGATTCCCCACATATGGGTACAATGTGTGAAGCACATTTCAGTTGTGCCCCGCCGTGATATTGATGGAATATTGCTAAAACGGCGTAAAACTAAACTCACTCACTCACTCACTACTCACTTTAGTTACGGGATGGAAATTCCACTCTTGACTCCTTGTCTGAATATGATAACTAGAATATGATAATATGATAACACTGGTCAACACGGAATCTCAATATAAAGAATGTAATACGAAAACAGCACTGTCCTACAATGAATAACAGTACCTCATTACAAATTCCTGGAATGTTCATGTATTCAACTGAATCCCTCGTTTACCATCTTACTGTAACTCATATACTCACGCCACAAGACTGTGTTGCTAGGATACCTGCCATAGAGATTACATTCCGACGATATTACAATGCAACTGTACTGTACATTACCAATGCTGTACACACATGAACCTCAGTGAACATTCGTTAAACTAAACTCTGATCAGTTTTATCAAAGACCACAACAGCTGCAGCAGAAACTAGCCTGTCTCACAGTCCCTGAACCATGTTATATCCCTTCAATCCAACACTACCTGTAATACAAACGTTCTAAATATAGCAAGTCTAGCTTTCGTCGGGTTCTGAATCTCTCATTTCGCCCCAAGCAATTTAAATGGCGTTCTTTGTTTCTATCAGAGTTGTATATTATATTAGAGTTAGTCTAAAAGTAAGACTTGTGAACGCTAACACCTCAAGCGAGACTGGTCCGCTTACATGAACCACGCTTTAAATAGACATACACCTTGCCCTTTGACCTATATATCTATTGAGCGTCACAATCTGTGTGGTATGTGCAGCGCTACAAGGTAAAACCACACGCATTTTAACAGCCGACAACATCTATGCTGGAATTTACGTGTGTGTGTTTTGCCAGCTGAGTAGATGTCCGTGTCTTCGTGTCCTGTGTCCTCCTGTCCTCGTGTCCTCACCACCTCACCTTAAACCTGACAGTGTAAGTAATACTCGCTACCTAGTTCCGCCATGTTAAACCCGGACAGCTGGGTAAACTATCAGTAAGCTATCAGAAACGCTGCATATAACACAGGGCATAACGCACCAGCGTGCATGTGTCGACCGATTTCAAGTGTAATCCAGTGTAAACAACCGTAAAAATATCGTACCATAGGCAATTTTCGTTTGCTGTATGTGAGCTGGGCAGGGTAGATTTACTTCCTATTTAGCCATGCGTGTCAGCTTGACCTATGAGGAAAATGTCGAACGTCGCAAAACACAATATGCCCTTCACTATTGTACTGAGGACAATGTTGTAAAACACAATATGCCCTTCACTATACTGAGGTGAAAGTCGTAAAACACCATATGCCCTTCACTATTGTACTCAGGTTAATGTCGTAAAATACAATATGCCCTTCACTATTGTACTGAGGACAATGTCGTAAATCACAATATGCCCTTCACTATTGTACTGAAGTCTATGTTGCAAAACACAATATGCCCTTCACTATTGTACTGAGGTCTATGTCGCAAAACACAATATGCCCTTCACTATTGTACTGAAGTCTATGTCGTAAAACACAATATGCCCTTCACTATTGTTCTGAGGGACAATGCCGTAAAACACAATATGCCCTTCACTATTGTACTGAGGTCCATGTCGTAAAACACAATATGCCTTCACTATTGTACTGAGGTCAATGTCGTAAAATACAATATGCCCTTCACTATTGTACTGATGTCAATGTCGTAAAACACAATATGCCCTTCACTATTGTACTGAGGTCTATGTCGTAAAACACAATATGCCCTTCACTATTGTACTGAGGTCTATGTCGTAAAACACAATATGCCCTTCACTATAGTACTGACGTCTATGTCGTAAAACACAATATGCCCTTCACTATTGTACTGAGGTCTATATCGTAACACATAATATTCCCTTCACTATTGTACTCAGGTCTATGTCGTAAAACATAATATTCCCTTCACTATTGTACTGAGGTCTATGTCGTAAAACACAATATGCCCTTCACTATTGAACTGAGGTCTATGTTGCAAAACACAATATGCCCTTCACTATTGTACTCAGGTCAATGTCGTAAAACACAATATGCCCTTCACTTTTGTACTCAGATCAATGTCGTAAAACACAATATGCCCTTCACTATTGTACTCAGGTCAACGTCGTAAAACACAATATGCCCTTCACTATTGTACTGATGTCAATGCCGTAAAACACAATATGCCCTTCACTATTGTACTGATGTCAATGTCGTAAAACACAATATACCCTTCACTATTGTACTGATGTCAATGCCGTAAAACACAATATGCCCTTCACTATTGTACTCAGGTCAACGTTATTTTCGTGTTCATGTTGAAACTCCTTACCACGAATTATCTTTTTGTAGTGAGAGAACAGATGGTGCATGTATATACTTACTGTATTTACGTAGTTAACAGACACAGGTGTAAATTATGTAGCTGTCAGTTAGACGATCTTGTAGGTCTTACACTGTTTTAGTCTTTGCATTACTTATAGATATCGTTTCAGCAAATGTGGGCATTTGACATGGTACATAACGGTAAACTCAAGATATGTTATCTAACTGTTACTTGGCAGCATCCTCGAGAATTTTGAACTTGAAGGGATGGTTGGTCGACAAACCGTTTTTAATAAATTTAGGCCTTTCATTGAATAAATCAGTTTAGAGGGAAAAAAACATGTCAGCGTATATTACTTGACTTCAGCTAACTGCAAGATAAGGTTGGCAGCAAATACAACAAAAACATAACACAAGAGAATAACCAGTCTCAATCTTTGGGCCTAATTAAAAAAGCAAGCGGTGACAACTATATATGACTTTGTGCTGAAACCGGGTGTTCTGAAATAAGTAAGCATATCATGGACTGTATCTGTCCTATGTTGACATACTTTTTTTAATTTTTTTTCATATTTGTTTCATTTTTACGGTAGCGCATACTCATTACAATTCATAATATCTAACGAAAACGTAAATGGCAACTTGACCAGTGCTTATAAGACGTGTCGATATTTGAATTATGTTGACATACCGATGTACCCCTGAAGATCCAGGTTAGAATCGAGCTCCAGTAACACATGCTTGACATACGAATCGACTAACGGGATCGAGGGGTATCAATTGTGTAGATCGATGCCCATGCTTTGATCATGCTGTTAATGTAATCTCTGCGACATGTGCGATGTTGGCGATTAATTTCATGACATGTTTCTGTGCCCTTACTTCAAACGTCATCGGAAAGCATATATCCCAAACCATTATGTTAAAAAACCTAATGTATAAAATTTAAAGAAATGTTTAACTGTAAACAAACAAATATTCTTTGAAAACATGTGATCGTAGCCCGATAACCGTAGCCCGATCGTAGATCGATGATTGTAACCTAATCATCGTAGCCCGATGATCGTAAATCGATGCTCATGCTATCAATCACGGGATTGTCATGTCCAGACTCGATTATTTACAGACCGCCATCATACAGCAGGAATACTGACACGTGAGACATTAAACAACAAACATACTAATGAAATCTTATGCCCCATCTATTAACAGATAAGTACCACGATGTCTACCGAGGAGAGACGATTGCCTTATGCCAGAGAGTTTGTCAGGAGTCTGACGGAGACTACCGATGATAGGGAGCGAGAGGTCCAGGAATTCCTACTGGAGACGATATTGCTGACACTGGCGGAGGTGGAGACGCGTTTCAGGACGTATATGCAGAAGCTTCATCACGTGACTGGCGACCAGAATTTCCAGACGATGCGCAGTGCAATAACCCGGATGGAAAACCAGATCAACTCCAGATTCCACACAAAAGACTCCTTCGGTTTGTTTGTTCTGTCACAGTGACAAATAATTACATGACAAATCATCTGATATCATAACCTGCACTAACTTAAACACTTATTGGTCAACGTTATTGCATCTAAAAACTCACTGAAAGATTAGGAGACAAAGACATTACCCGCAAAAGATTTCAAAATTTACAGCTCTCTTGAATCTCTATTCCGTGACAGTCACGTTAATGATTACCAGCACATTGTGTTATGAATGATACCAAATACCAACTCATCAAATTCCCTGCAAGTAATTTGTCAAATAGTGAATTTCACCTCATTACAAATGGATGATTTGTTACTTTGTTTTTGTATTTTTAACAGAAAAGAGGTCAAAGGTCAGTCATATCCATAGAGAGGCTCTCAGGAACTGTTACACTTTGCTGACAAGTGACCTTGAGCTCTTCAAATCCAGCATCATTGATGACCTTCTTTCATCTGATGTGATGTCTGTGTCAGACAAGGATAGTATCAGAGGCAAAGACACGAGGAGAGGTCAGAACGAAGAGTTCTTCGGCTACATCGTTGGACGTCTGTCTTTTGAGGACTTCCACCGTATCCTGCTTCCAGCCCTGAGGAAGGATCATCCTCATGTGGCAGAGGCGCTGATCTCAGAGTTGGACAGGCTGGAGGAGGAGCATGAAGATGAACAGTGTGTGTCCTGCAGAGCCAGGAAATATGTACAGGTGAGGAAGGACATGAGTATAAAAGGAATACATAGCTTAAACATTCTGGAGCTTATAACCAGCAACGTCATCTGTAAGGTAGATAACGTCACAGTTCCTGTACATCTACTATTCACATCAGCGTTCACAACACTATCCAAAACTTCGTGTGCATACCAGACCCTCCTAAATATTCTGACCAGACCATCATAAAAATTAATCATATTTAACGGTTTGCATTAACTGCTTATTTATTATAAACCATCGTTTGATAAAGCCATTTAATATGCAGTGACATCTCTTTTAGTAATTATTGCGTTTACGAAACAAAGCCACATGTACAGTCACTAACAAAATCATTTTTTACATTGGCAGCTAAAAAGGGTGGCAACTCCTTTGCTGCAACAAAAGATCATAGAAATTCCTCTGTTTGGCGACCTGAAAAGTTCTGGAATGTCTAACACCACCAAATGGACAGAACTTAGAAAGAGGTGTCCGACAAAGACATCATTGCTGCCATGGCCAATAAGTATCCAGACCTATACAAGGAGTTTATGCAGCTGGAGTGTAACACCCTGGACTGCTGTTGTCCCTCACATGACGTTCAGGACTCAGGTGTTCCAGGAGTGCCAGAGAGTGTCTTCACTTCACAGGAGAGCGTCAGTGAATACGAGAGCTGCTTGACAGATTCTTTCGAGATGGAAGAAATTGAAAATATTATGGATGATTTATCGTTCCAGAACAGAAAGTTAGAGGAAGGTAAACTGTCGTTTTATTGTGAAATCATTATCTATTAAGTATGGTATATGAATACAGTTTTTTTTAAATTACATTTAAAAATTTTTAAAATCTGAAACTTTGGAGTGTTTAACATTTATAAGATGTCGTGCAAAAGAAAGATTTTTCCTCCATGGTAGTTCGATGATAATGTTAGATACGGCTGGCAGACGTATATTTGTGCGTTGAAACCTTACATTCCCAGTGAGACATTTCTCACTGTGAGACGTTCTAATAAATTGGTCAAATGAAATTTTCCAGTAAACCCGTTCTTTTTCCAGGCAGATTAGTATACACGTCTACAACTCTTGACTGATGTTGAAATAGTTAATAATCATTATGTCCAAATGTGTTGGTGCTAATCTTCTGGGTTCAGTTGTACAAAGTTCAGCTTATAGTCGAAAGTCTACAAAGTGAGATCTTACCGCTACGCTTTACAGTGGCATGGTACACTTAAAGTCTACATTATGTTTGTCTGGGGACTTGAGATCTTCTGTTGTTTATTATTATTTAATTTTTAATTTGTTTATGGATACTTTATTCTATATCATTTTTCATTTTCTCATTTTTTGAGGGGTCTTGTTTGTTAGTTTTAATTTAGGGGAGTTTGATTTTGTGGAGTTATTGAAAACATGTTATTTTTACATTATGTTTTTGAAGGTTCAGCTAAAGAAGCCTCGCTGCAATATTTCTGTCGTCATGTTTCAGAGTACAAGATGACAGCTGTTCCGAGGGGCATCTGCCTCATCATTAACAATAAAAGCTTCAAGAAAGGCTTCCCGACGCGTCGAGGTGGTGTGGACATCGACGTCGACAATCTGACCGAGTTGTTCACTAAACTCCAGTTCACCATAAACCTGCAGACAGATTTAACTTCCGTCGATATGATGAAAAAACTAAAAGAGTACGCCGAACAAGATCACACAGAGTACGATGCCTTCGTTTGTTGCATCCTCACAAATGGAACAGACTACGGTGTCGCTGGTAGCGATGGTAAAATAGTGAAAGTGCAAGATCTTTCTTCGTTGTTCCACGCATCAAAGTGCCCCACGTTGGCAGGGAAGCCCAAACTGTTCTTCATCCAAGCATCAGAGGAGGCAATTTCATGAGTGAATTAATTCAGGATGATCAATCCGATATTTCAACTGCTGACGAAGCTGATATCTTTATTGGCCACAGCACCGTTCAGGGGTACACCAGTTCCAGAAATACAAAGTACGGTAGTTATTTCATCGGTTCTTTGGTTAAAACGTTAGACAACCACGGTGACCAGCAGGACCTCCTGAGTTGTCTATTGATGGTCAACAGGGACATGTCAAGGACACGGATGGGTCAGAAATGGGAACGGTATAAGCAGGTGCCCGCCCCGTTGTTTACTCTGACGAAGAAGGTGTACCTGACCAGTGATCCTCAGTGGCCTTACCCCAGCCAGGTACCCACAGACCCTTGATAGGAGATGGAGAAATCATAAACTTCTTGAAGTTTTGTGGGAGTACATACTTGTATGGTCTAAGGACAATAACAGACCTTCAGAAGATGAGCAAAACCAGACCTCGGATCCCTGAAAGAACTGCAATGCACGGGGTTATTACTAGTGGTGTTCCGATTAATTGAAATAATCGAAGATTGATCGCAGTGACCAAAAGACCAAGCAATCGATCACATTTTTCTCATAATTGCTCAAAAACGATTTTGGAACTGTTGTTTTAGTCTTTGAAACACTTGACGATGGAATATAACTTCGAAGTAGTCAGGGCCTGAAAACTTGTTTCATTCTTAGAAAACTCACTTCACTAACTGAAAAGTCATGACTGAATATTTCTTGAAGACCCCAGAAGGTTTATGTTGATGATATATCAACATCAGTTTTAAAAGTAAGCAAGGTGCATCATGTTATACATATCTGCAATAACAACCTGGATAGGAAAATCTGAAAATTGACGCTAACCAATTTTTATCGATGATTGTTCGTTGGTAATGAAGCAATCATCAGTTATGAGATTTCAACCAATTCCCAACACTAGTTATTACGATAACTACAGATCTTTGTTAATACAGAACATAAGAGATTTCGGGTGTGATAAAGTGAATAGCAAACCCGGCATTATGAGGAGAGTCACAGACCAAGCTGTTATCGGAAGATACTGGGACGTGATCTTATTAGCAGTCATTATGAGTCAACATTAATATAAGCACAGTAGGGGATGACTGGGGTATAACTATGAAGATGGTCGGAGAAGACATGTATGTTGTAAGTAATAATATGAAAGGTATGTCCCGTTTGTGAATGGCTGGCATTATCATTATCACTCAGGTGTTCCAGTACCATCACCTCAATTCCATTTCTGTATTATGATATACAAATGTACTCGTTGTGTTCAACAATAGCTTCCTTAAGCACATGACTGAATCTACACCTGACTAATCAATACCTAGTGTTATAAGGTAGAAATGCATCCCTGAAATAATCAACAAATACGTATCTCTATCGATTCTGTCTCCATTACTTTCCACAAACACCCGCGAAGCAATCACAAGAATATAGATAATGAATTTGTTACATTTTTTTATATTTTAGGGATGAATTTCTACGGAATAAAGCTAGCAACTTAATAGCCACACGATTGTTGGACAAACATTTTTTTAATCCAACAAATAAATATATTTATATTACAAATGTTAATAATCTTATATTTTGTTTGTGAGAGACTTAATCGCATGTCTTTCCCACGTATTGTAATGTCAGCGTGTATGGCAAATGCACACAGTGGTGCAGCCCCAATCTTCAGCGGACGGAACAATCGAGGAAATATATCATGTAAGATGAAATAAACTTTGATATTACCAACGATCTACAAGTACTAAGTCCTTTGCGGACGGATCAATCGATGAAATATATCATGTAGGGTGAAATAAACTTTGATATTACCAACGAAGTACTAAGTCCTTTGCTATGCACCGTCTACTTGAGTTTCACAGGGTGATCAGGCTCGATGACTTGGTTGACACATGTCATCGTATACCAACTGCGTAGATCGATGCTGATGTTGTTGATCACCGGATTGTCTGGTCCAGACTCGATTCGCTGACTGACCAATAACAGACATGTTGTTGTTCACCGGATTGCCTATATATAGCCGCCATATATGGAACATTGCTGAGTGCAGCGTATAATAAACGAAACTCACTCACTAAGCAAGTCCTTCCTTCCAGACAAATCTATGACTCGAGGGGCAGATGCAGCTATTGGGGGTGGGGGTGGGGGTGGGGTGGTTTGGGGTTGCACAGTCTTGAGAAAGGGGGGTGCACACTTCATTGTCATCCATTTTCGCGAAAGTTTCAACGGTTACTAAATTTCCTTTCAGGAAAAAAAGGGGGGGGGGGATTGTTTGCGCCTATGAATGTCCTTATATATTAATAAAATGGAAGGTCAAAGACAGGTCGCCACGAAAAGCTGCGGCACTCTCTCACTCAAGGATCAAGATCCTTTACGGAACAATACAATTCGTTGACTCAAGAATCACGAGCAATGCGTGATGAAAATCTCCAATGGAGACAAGAAAGTCCATAATGGCAAGCTCCAGATAAGATTTAGCTCATGTGGGTACTGTACCCACTGTATTTTTTTGGAGTGGATATTATGAATGTTGAGTGGGTATTATATTTTCCGTTACCCACTGCTTTCAAATATGTGCGTATTTCAGTCATTTTACTCACCTAAGTATTATGTCATTGAGTAAGTTTACTAAGCAGGTATGTTCTGCCTTATGTCAAACCTAATCAAAACCAACTTAAATATAATGGAAATGATTTCATAAAAATATCACTTCATCCTACACTGACAATACAACACTTGTCCTATACTAACAGTACAACTTGATAGCAATCGATGTCTCTTTCATTACGCAAGCGATTTGTATAAATATATTTCGTACGCATTTAGTTTTAAACTTTTTGCGTATCTAACATTGGTACGCAACAATTATTTTTCAATGCGTAATTGGAATGTTCTATGCGTATTTTACCCGGATACGCAGCTTATCTGGGCCTCTAGGCAACATTCTCAGCATATTTGGTGTTATTATTTAAGTCAGAACACTACAGCCCCTGTTCCTGAAATAATGTCAGATTTATCAGTGTAAGTATGGCTGATATATACACCTGGGAAAAGTTTAGCGCCGTCCCTTCTATTTATATACCCGAACTTTATGTAACCTTTAGAAATATCAACATATGACCTTGATATCAGTTTGATAAATAGCTAATTATCATATTGATACTCACTGAAATACAAAAATGACATTAGGGAAAGGTTCTCAATGAATTAAAAGTGCAAAGTCAGATATTAATTACAAAAGTCACATTAGAGAAAGGTATACCCGGATATATACTGAATAGTGAAATATTAAATATCAGCTTCAAATATTGTCATTACAGATAGGTTATAAAAGTGTACAGTCAAAAACAGTTACAAAATATGCTGTATGACGATTTCTGCTGCTGTGTTTTGAATATTTCACAACGCGAAAAAAACAGATGTTTTCTGTCAGAAAGGTAATACAGGATAAGCAATTCGTAGCATGGATATTTTTTATTGAAACGTATAATGATTATAAGATGCACCATCCTTACCTAGAGGTATATAGAAAGAAACAGGTTGATCATAACACATACAGACTGCAAGGATAGTCCAGAAACTTTAACTCACAAAACAGCATTGGGGCACTCTGCGTAATATGTTTCACTAAACTGTTTACTTAGAGAGAGACCGTTTACTTATGTAACAGTGTATGAAATAAGGCCCGTCCCCCCATTACCCCTACATGCCACTATCCCTACAGCTTATAACAACATAGTTTACGGTCTGTTGCACTGTTAATCCACTGCCTGTTACCTATTCCACACATTGGACTAATCCACTTAAGAGACATAACAACACACAACTATAAGGTTGAGAGAATGATTTTAATGAAAAGTGATCATCATTTGTCATCATCAAGATTTTAATAAGAACTGACAATAATTCATCATCATGATTCTTTGATGGACATTAACAATTAATTGTTAACATTCAATGTTCAACATAGTCATTTGTGTCAAGTGTTTCAGTCTATGAACACTCAGTGTTTCAATCTATCCCAGCTTAAGTAGATAGCCGACGGCGTCATAGAACTGAAGAGGTGATTTCTGTCCAAGCTCAAGCTGCTCCTTGAGTCTACACAGGCGATTGTCAGTCTCCCTGAGGACTCGCTTTCTGCTTCTTGTCGCAGCACCAAAGTCTATTTGTGAAATCTTCACCCTCTCAGCATGTTCAATTCTCCTAATGACTTCTACAAATCTGTATATGTTCGGATGCCTGTGTGGAATTTCACGGTTCAGTCGGTTGTGAAAACCTTCTAGATTGCTGTTTGTCCTCGGCCCAGTTGTCAGGTTGTGGTTCCACAGGGGAAGTAGAAATCTGGCTGTGTCGTCGACCCAGGTTGTCACGATGTAATCGTTGAAGTCGACTGCTCTTGGGACGTCTGGAGTGTCGTCCATGGCTTTTACCCACGTGTCCTGGACCGTGTCTTGAGGGAGTAGAGGTAGCCCAGCTGCTCTCCTGATCCACTTGGTGACTTCGGGGTTTTCTTTGTAGGCAACAGCCAGTCGAAGATCCTGAACCTTCCTCCAAATGGCTTGACAGAAATGGAAGAAACAACCCTTCACGACAGCAGTTGGAAATTCAGTCTCTAAGGCATGGATTGCTGTTAACTCGAAGTCTGTCTGGATACAGGATGGGACAAGCGGCCTGTTGAGTCTCCGCTGAACTTCATCCTTGAGGAGTCAGAAGAGTCTGGAGTAGGTCGTCGTCTGACGGTCGGGAAGTAAGGCGAAGATGAGGGGGATATGTGGTGGTCCCACGTCTGGCATGTATGATGTAGACTTTATTCAATAGTGCAGGGCAGGCAGTGAATGTTCCATCCGTGTAGATGTTCTCGGCTGACTGCAAGGCCTGAATACTCTCTTGGGTGCCAAATGCCAGGATCTTGTCATCATCGCCGTCAGCAAACAGGAGGAATGGTCGACCATCTGCTGTCTGCGTCCAGGGATCTTGAAGGTCGACTTCTGATCTCGTCTGTGGTAAAACAGGAATCGTCTTCTGTTGTGACTCTTCCTCTGCATGTTGACTGAACACACTTCAAGTGTACACAAGACTGTCTCTCGACATTCTTAGTGTGAAGATAACCGTCAAATAGGACTTGGGGGCTACCTCTCCGTGACATCACAAACTCAAGATTACGCAGACCAGCCATGTTGATGCCATGTTAGTTTGTTGTCAACAGCTATATACTATACCGAACTATCTCAATTTACTTTCTCGTCTCACCTTCTCATTTCCCTCCACTTCTCAATAATACTGTGTATCTTTTATCATGGCACTAAAACAACTCAATTTCAACATTTAACAACCTCCACATTATCCAGTTTGTAAAATTGTTCTTCTCACTAGAGGTTTATCTTTCATCATGAAACTAAAACAACTTTTAGCTAATCCCAAATTTCCTTGACACAAAACACTAAAGAACAGTTCAATCCCTCCCTTGACCTCATCTGTATACTCTATGCACTAATCTCTCTTTGGGTCAGTTCATTATGCCAGACAGGTAAATGCCGTGTGTTGTTTTAACTAATTGTAGGGGTACTGGGCTGTAGGGGTAGTGGCATGTAGGGGTTATGGAATACAACCCCCGAGACGGGCTAGATTTCTGACGGACGGTCTACATTTACAGCTAGCCAGCCCGATGGTATGGTAAACTCTTTTAGAAAACATGTTCCAACATCTGAGTAATTTTCTTTGGATTGTCAGATCTGGTTAAATCCATTTGGGGCTGGTAACATTTTGAAGTTACCAGCCCTGATGTCTGGCTGGGTTTTTGGCTTATTTCATACACTGTTAATACAGTATTTTCTTCACTTTATTGGGGGCGGTGGGGCAGCCTAGTGGTTAAGGCCTTCGCTCGTCACGATTCCCCACATGGGTACATAGTGTGAAACCTATTTCTGGTGTCCCCTGCCGTGGTATTGCTGGACTATTGCTAAAAGCGGCGTAAAACCATACTCACCCACTTCATATAGCGGGCATATCCATTCTGGCAACGTGGATATTATTTCAGTGTGAAGTAGTAACCTTGGTACAAATTGTAGCAGTATTGTTTTCCAAGGATATTGTTTCTACAGAAATATTTTCTCACAGGAATATTTGACACCTGAAACAATAATCGTTTGCATTAAGGCTGCAATAGCAGTAGACTGGTACCCTGCCCCTCGCCTCCAAGCGGCGGAACAAAGTACTATTTGAATGCAAAGAGGAGCGCAAGCGCTCTGGGGCAGGAAAAACAGTCTAATCGAGGGCATCCGCGTACGATTCAAGGGAGATAACTCTAATTTGACGTGTTGGGACGGACGCAAGACAAGGTGTTCTCAGTGTCCGTGAAAGTCAATGATGCCGATCAGTCAAGATTCTTTTGGAAAATCTGTCGAAGGAGAGTCTGTTACAAGGTGACATTTACATACTTTTATTTCACAGCTTTTAATGGCATTTGACAGACACGTAAATCTAAAATAGGTGACAGTACCCAATCGTAAGACAAACCCGATGAACCCCACAGCAAAGCATTAATCAGAGACGTGTCATTAGACTGCGCAGACGGGCATGTAGGTTAAATGCAGTATAACGAGCTGAACTATTGCAGCGCCCAGTCTGCCGACTTGCCCTCTGGCTCTGCTTTAAGAGAAGGCCGAACGGTTTACATTTAGGGAGGGATAATCCACAACATTTATTTATTTTCTCCCCTGATTTAGGTAATGTGGTTTGACTAGAAACTCGTATACGGGCAGAAGTCTTAGCAAATGTTTGTAATTATTGATCAGGTTTAACAAATTTTAAGATATTGTTTAAATTCAATCTAAATATTATAAAAGTTATAATCTTATAAGTAAAACATTCGAAAGACCCTGTCATTTGGGGAGACGGTGATTTCGTAGACAGAACCAGTTCGTCATTTGCAACTAGAGTAAGATCCAAGTCGTAGCTAGGCCTGTGTGCAGTTGACATCATGGGTTGAATATCAGAGATGAAACTTTGTCCTTAATTGTTTGTAATATCAGATTTTCCTAGCTTCAAAGTGAAATAGCTTACGTAAAAATGGGGGGTGGGGGTGGTGGTATGATGTTTTAAGCGTGGCGGAGGGGTGTGACCAATTTGTTCAGGGGGGGAGCAATTTTGTACATAGAATATTAAAATATTCTGCTTAAAAATTATGGAAAGGAGGTGGGGGTCATTGATTTTGTACATGACATGCAGGGGGGATCACTTACTTTGTCGATAAATTGGGGGGGTCGGTCATTCACATTGTACATTCACAGATGTCAGTAAGCTGTTCAAATACATTAATTGGTAGAGAATAACTGAGGATGGTATTAGATAATAATTAAAGCTTTCTGTGGTTGGATATGTAAAATATCAACTTTTCAGAAAAGAACAATTTATGCAAGCCTAATGTTCCCAAACTTCAGATACACAAGAACAACATCATAGTAGCACGTTTCGTTATTGCAGATACACCTTCCAGAACAAGAACAACGTTATCGTGAGAGTCCTGGACTATGGCGGCATCATCACTGACATCATCGTCCCCGACAGGAATGGCAAGATGGAGGACGTCAGTCTTGGCTTTGATAACATGGAAGGTATATATATGATGGACTGTAAGAATATGACAATTTAAATTGAACACATTCATTCCTTTAAAATAATTTTACTCTCACTGAAACAAACAATATGATCATAATAATTGAATCCCTGAAATATAAACTGTAATGATTAGAAGAAAACAAACAAAACAGCCTATAATAATTTTCTACCTTTGTTATGAGGACTTAAAATAAGGTATGTTGGGTGGAATTAACCATACAAGTTTATTTTGACCTTCATAATTTTGCATAGGCTATGCTGGGGGTCCATATATGGGTGCTCTGATTGGACGATATGCCAACAGGATCGCTGGTGGACAGTTCAGTCTTGATGGCAAATCCTACTCCCTGTTTGTTAACAATGGACCCAACAGTCTGCATGGAGGAAAGAGAGGATTTGACAAGGTGAGTTTACTGGGGATAAGCATGTTTGCAGAAGGTGAAAACTATTGCTAAACCTACATTTTCCACTGGATTGCACTTACATTGTCGGCCTAAGAATTAGTCACTGCCATCATAACACCATCACAAAGTCTGCACGTTTCATTTCTATTTCCAGTATGCTGTGTCTTGAACACACAGCCTGGCATTGAAATATTGCAATACTAAATATTATTAACGAGATCGAGTATAGCATGCAGTTACTTCCCTTCCCATGCAAACTAGTTCATGTCTCATGTCGTGTTATGGTAATTGTAAGCTGGGCTCTGTCTCTCATACATCAATATATGCAAAGGAAGCCAGGAACAACGTATGTTAATGGCATTAGTAGCTTTTTTAGCTTGTTAGGCTGTTCGCTAGTTTGGTCAATGACATAATGAAATTTACGTTGAAACATCATTAGACATGATGATTTACAAATTCAATAGTATTTGTGTACTGAATGCCAGACCTTTTTTCATATGTAGACATTTAAATTATGTGTGGACATTTTATTGTACTGTAAAAGAGTCGAACATTGCAGTCAGCTGTTCACCCATTTCCCCGATCAGTGGGTGTTTTAGTTTTGAAAATACTCTTTATATGGCCAGAATCATAACTAAAACAATAGGAAAACTATTTAGAATACAGTGGTAGGGAAACTATGTTTATCATCCAAAACTGTGTTCCACAGGAGATATTGCTTGTGTGAGATCAAACAATATCTCCTAGGAGATATCGTTTTGACAGTAGATTTTGTACAATGCCCTGACAATGCCATGATGTCATTAACTTGATGACGTCACAATCATATGACATCGTTACACTGCAAGTCTCATGGCAGTACCATGTTCAGAGATGTACATTTTTCATTGAAAACTAAAGAAGAATGATTTTTTATGATAAATAGAATCTCACCCTTGTGTCTTTTGATATCAAATATATCAACACTCGTTGATAAAAGTACAAATATCCTCGGCAAGCCTCGGATGTTTGTGACTTTATCAACTCATGGTGATGTATTTGATATCAAAAGACACTCAGGTGAGATTCTCTATATCTAATAGTCATTTCAACTAATAGTCATTTAAACGAAAGTTGGTGCAGTGGTACAATTTACTGATCTTCCCATATACGATTTCATCAAAATTAATGTAGCGAAAACTGAGTAAAATCTTGAATTAAATTATTGTAATGCATTATTAGTGTAAGTCCAGATATACAATGAACACTTAACTGCCAGATAGGAAAATAAAAAGACAATCGTGCATACTGCAGTTCGGATTTGTTGAGTATTTCTGGTTTTATGTGCTTAAGAGAACAACTTCATGTTGTGAAACAAACTCGAAGAAAAGCACACTGGTGGTCAAATAGTAGTCAAAGACTGGAGATAGCATAGAATACCCTGTAAATTGTTGTATCTGTTTGTTATTTTAGCAAAGGTGTCAATAAACTATAAAAATAGTGTATCTGCTATGTAAACACACAGTAGGCTAACTAGCTTCAAGGCTTAAACATATTGTGTGTGCTTTTGATAGTATACAGTGTACTATCAGGTTGAGTTCCTTTTGATAGTATACAGTGTACTATCAGGTTGAGTTCCTTTTGATAGTATACAGTGTACTATCAGGTTGAGTTCCTTTTGATAGTATACAGTGTACTATCAGGTTGAGTTCCTTTTGATAGTATACAGTGTACTATCAGGTTGAGTTCCTTTTGATAGTATACAGTGTGCTATCAGGTTGAGATTCCTTTGATACCGTATACAGTGTACTATCAGGTTGAGTTCCTTTGATAGTATACAGTGTACTATCAGGTTGAGTTCCTTTGATAGTATACAGTGTACTATCAGGTTGAGTTCCTTTTGATAGTATACAGTGTACTATCAGGTTGAGTTCCCTTTGATGGTATACAGTGTACTATCAGGTTGAGTTCCTTTGATAGTGTATACAGTGTACTATCAGGTTGAGTTCCTTTGATGGTATACAGTGTACTATCAGGTTGAGTTCCTTTGATAGTATACAGTGTACTATCAGGTTGAGTTCCTTTAGACCGGTATACAGTGTACTATCAGGTTGAGTTCCTTTTGATAGTATACAGTGTACTATCAGGTTGAGTTCCTTTTGATAGTATACAGTGTACTATCAGGTTGAGTTCCTTTTGATAGTATACAGTGTACTATCAGGTTGAGTTCCTTTTGATAGTATACAGTGTACTATCAGGTTGAGTTCCTTTGATAGTATACAGTGTACTATCAGGTTGAGTTCCTTTGATAGTATACAGTGTACTATCAGGTTGAGTTCCTTTGATAGTATACAGTGTACTATCAGGTTGAGTTCCTTTTGATAGTATACAGTGTACTATCAGGTTGAGTTCCTTTTGATAGTATACAGTGTACTATCAGGTTGAGTTCCTTTTGATAGTATACAGTGTACTATCAGGTTGAGTTCCTTTTGATAGTATACAGTGTACTATCAGGTTGAGTTCCTTTTGATAGTATACAGTGTACTATCAGGTTGAGTTCCTTTTGATAGTATACAGTGTACTATCAGGTTGAGTTCCTTTTGATAGTATACAGTGTACTATCAGGTTGAGTTCCTTTTGATAGTACCGGTATACAGTGTACTATCAGGTTGAGTTCCTTTTGATAGTATACAGTGTACTATCAGGTTGAGTTCCTTTTGATAGTATACAGTGTACTATCAGGTTGAGTTCCTTTTGATAGTATACAGTGTGCTATCAGGTTGAGTTCCTTTTGATAGTATACAGTGTACTATCAGGTTGAGTTCCTTTTGATAGTATACAGTGTGCTATCAGGTTGAGTTCTGTGAATACAACTGTATGAAAGTTTGGGGATCCTTCAAAGGTTACAAAAAAAGATGGTGCCTGCCCGCACCGTTTTCTATCTTTGTCAAAGGCCATTGCCTGAGAACTAATTCTATATATGTTTAAGCTTCATTATGTCAGCAATAGGAAACGCTAAAGAGTGTGTCAACTTTTGATAAATCAGTGTATGGTTTTGTCGAACTGAGCCCAGGGTTCGGTGGACTTGTCCTTTGATACATGTTTATTTGACCTTATATATGTTGGATATTTGAAGTCTTGGTCCTTGCTATCAGTTATAGTTCCGGGACTGTCAGCACCATAGACATGTTGTGGATTAATAATAATAATGTTTCCATTTATATAGCGCCAAACTCCTCACTAAGTATGCTCATAGCACTGCCAATGATGATGTGCTCATAGCACAGCACATTATTACCCTGGATAACCCAAGCTGCCTGTTAGGCGCTAAAAGGTTATAGTCACATGACTTATCCCACCGGGTACCCATTTTTCTGCTGGATGAACAGAGGCAATTTTGAACAAACTCACTTGCCTTAGGAGAGACCACATGTGTCACATGTTTCGTTGTGGGGCAGGACTGAAGTCAAAGAAACTCTCAGGAGTCAAATTGCCAAACCCGGTCACACATCCAAGGACTCTCCCCGCTCAACTTTGCTTAACTTCAACTGATTTGTTACCTGAGCTCTATGCACAGGACCACATGCCACCACATATTGCCAGATTAGTAAACATCTGAAGCCTACATCATTTTGGGCTCTCCTTCCACAACAAGCTGACACTGACTGGGATATAACAAGAATACTGTCAAAAGCTGTGTTAAACACAACTCAATCCGGTGTAGAATAGGTCTTCAGCAACCCATGCTTGCCACAAAAGGCGACTATGCTTGTCGTAAGAGGCGACTAACGGGATCGGGTGGTCAGGCTTGCTGACTTGGTTGACACATGTCATCGGTTCCCAATTGCGCAGATCGATGCTCATGCTGTTGATCACTGGATTGTCTGGTCCAGACTCGATTATTTACAGACCGCTGCCATTTAGCTGGAATATTGCTGAGTGTGGCGTAAAACCAAACTCACTCACTCACACTAAACACAACTCACTGAATCTGTTGCTCTCTCACTCACTTTTCAAAAGAATAATAGCCAACACTCTTATTGGTGTATTATGACCCCTGCTTTGGTGATAATAACAGCGGAACTATATTTCACCTCTATAGCGACTATGGGAGGCCAAGGTTGACGGAAACAGACTGAGCCTTGAATATGTCAGCCCAGATGGTGAGGAGAACTACCCAGGGGAGGTAACTCTGACAGTCACATACGTACTGACTGATGAGAATGAGCTGATCATTGACTACACGGCAACATCGACCAAGGCAACACCTGTCAACTTCACCAACCATGCTTACTTTAATCTGGGAGGCCATGTGAGTTCTGGTATTTGTGTTTCAGATGATTGTAGTTAAACTTGGCATCACAGATGTTAAATCGGACAAGTATCACTGTTGAATTAGATATTAAAGATGGAAACTTAACATAAATATGAGAGACTCATATAGGAATATTGTTTAATGTGGCTTTAGACAACAAAGATAAAGAGATACTGAATTGTCATGTTTCGACCAATAATTGCTCAAATAGAGAGCCATGTGTTTTACATGAATTTACAAAATCTGTTTCCAGGCATCAGGGAAGATCGATGATCATCGTGTGCAGATCAATGCAGAACATTTCCTGCCTCTGGATGATAACTCTATACCTACAGGTACAAGTCTCTCATGTGATCTGCATTGGGTAGCAGGGCCTCCTTTCACAAAGCACTAAGGTGTTCGAAAGTAACTAAGGTAACCTTAGTGCATTGTTAAAGAATGGGAGTTAGGTTTACCTTAGCTAAAGTTTTTGTGAAAGGATTCCCTGTATCGTAGACATTGTGACAACTGATTACAGTAACTGGCTTTGTGTTAGCTACAGAAATTGTATACCTGTGCTGCTCCCTTTGAACAATTGTGATACTGATCTGTCTCAGATTTCACCTGTACCTAATATGTGTAAATCATGCTTCATGACAGTATGTTTTTCAAGTATTACAAGAAATTTTCAGAAATATGTTTTGAGCGGCAACAGTAACAAGTCTCAAAACTTCAGGAATTTGCTTTTTTATCCTTCATTGCATTTCTGAACTTGTCTTAATTGAATCATAATTCTCAATGTGTAACTATTACACACATTTTCCAGGTGAGATCCGGAAAGTGGAGGGAACGGAATGGGACCTGAGGTCCCCTGTACGTCTTGGGGACCGACTTGGGCAGGTGCCTGGTGGGAAGGGGTTTGACCACAACTTCAACCTGTCTCTGTCTGGAGAAAAGCGTCTGGCAGCAAGGTTGAGTGAAAGACATTTAATTGTGATTGACGACATATTCCAATATAAGTATAACACCAGCATACGAGGAAAGTTTTCCATAAAGCTTACATAAGTGCCCGAGGCATTCTTTTTGAATCTCTGAACTGCTTGTGATGAAGTCAGTGAGAGGGTGTTTTATGCCGACAGGGTGGAGCACCCGCCAAGTGGGAGGTGGATGGAGTGCCACACCACGGAACCAGGGGTGCAGTTCTACACCAGCTTCTATCTGCAGGACGTGGTGGGGAAAGCAGGGGCCATCTACTCCCAGTACGGAGGATTCTGCCTGGAGGCTCAGCACTACCCTGACAGCATCAATCAGGTGGGTCAGCACTACCCTGATACCATCGATCTGGGGGATCAGCACTTCCCTGACACCATCAATCAGGTGGGTCAACACTACCATGACACCATCAATCAGGACAGCAACAATCAGGGTGGGTCAGCACTACCCCTGACACCATCAATCAGGTGGGTCAGTACTACCCTGACACCATCAATCAGGTGGGTCAGCACTACCCTGACACCATCAATCAGGTGGGTCAGCACTACCCTGACAGCAACAATCAGGTGGGTCAGCACTACCCTGACACCATCAATCAGGTGGGTCAGCACTACCCTGACACCATCAATCAGGTGGGTCAGCACTATCCTGACACCATCAATCAGGTGGGTCAGCACTACCCTGACAGCATCAATCAGGTGGGTCAGTACTACCCTGACAGCATCAATCAGGTGGGTCAGCACTACCCTGACAGCAACAATCAGGTGGGTCAGCACTACCCTGACAGCAAACCAGGTTGACAGCATACCCAGCATCAAAGTGGGTCAGCACTACCCTGACACCATCAATCAGGTGGGTCAGCACTACCCTGACACCATCAATCAGGTGGGTCAGTCAAGTAGATCAGCATTACCCAGACAGTAACGATATGGGGATGTATTTGTCTGATGGCCGATCTGAAGACCAGTTCAAGATATCAGTGTTCAACACATATGAATCTGTGATGACAATTCATCAAAATCTGATTACGCTTGTTTCTGTTTCAGCCAAGTTTCCTCGAACTGTGTTTCGGCGTGGATGGGGAAACCTACAGACAGATCCACATCTTACAAGTTTGGCATCAGCAGCTAAACTCTACAGCTGAAACATTTTCCTTTTCAAAATGCAAACCAACTTTACTGGGCACATTGATAGACTACTGCCAGTCTAAAAAAGTCTTCATATAGAGGGAGGTCTTGGGATATCTTATGAAGAAGTAGCAACTTAATGATGTGCGACTGATTGTCTCGATTTTCTTGGCAGCCACAACTCATAGGGAGGTTTTTGTACTTCACAGCAGTTATTGGTTATACAAGCTTAAATAATGTATGAGAGTCCATGTTTTTAAAAAAACTCTGGCGTGTTGATTCACATGATGTTGAAGGATGTTGAGAGAGACAATTACGTGCTCAGCATCTTAGATACCAACACAATCAGCGATGTTACAGATGCAGATTTGTTTGTTTTTCATTTGAGTTGATTGTCAAAACCAATGATGTTTGAAAAGATTGATAATGGACTACATTGTGCAATGTCTAGCCCTTAAGGGGGATTTTGTGGACTGAGAAAACACACTCCCAAATATATTGAAATATTGTTTAATTCAAGCATAAGTTAAGTAATTCATCACCTGAGTGATGGCGAAGGAGGTAATGCTATAGAAATAGCATTACCTGTTGATGCTATCCCCCTTCATGGTGTAATAACTAACTATAGTAATATCAGTTAGTTTGCAACTTCTTTTGAGTTGTGTCGTTTTACAAGAACCTTTATACTGGGTTTTGTGTTGCATTTAGTCGAGTACTGAGAAAATATTTTGTTGATGCCAATCTCTTGCTCCTCTGTCTTTGTATGGCCGAGGCTATATTAGAAATTATGAGGTTATGCGTTGTATCGTTGAACAGTGAGTGAGTGAGTTGTGTTGGCATCACTTTGAACAGCATGTCTCATATTTGGTTGTTGACCTACAAGGGTTATTGCCCATGTTTCTGCAAGTCCAGGTCATTATGAGAGCTTTGATATGGCTGTAACATTGCTGACTCTCAATCTTATATCATCCGCCTCCTTGGTGGGTAAGGCATTTATGAATAGAGTGAAAGTCAGTAGCTTGATACCAAGCGGTATTAAAGAATAAAGTTGGTCAATTTGTTACCCTGCCTGCCACATAGCATTAGGGGGAAAAACAAGGACTGTTGTTCTGTTTGGGGCATCGGAAGGACAAATGTCAAGTTCCGTCCATAAGTATGTCCCAAAGGCATCTCATGATTTTTGGTGTGTGAAGCCCATTTCTGGTGTGCACTGCCGTGATATTGCTGGAATATTGCTAAAAGCAGCGTAAAACTCACTCACTCACTTGATCTATTATTTTTCTAGGTTTGACAGTACATGCGGATTGGTTTCACCAACTGCACTATGTCAAAACCTTGATCATTATGGGCTTTTAATGGAATACTGTTAAAAGTAGTGGGGCGGTGGGGTAGCCTAATGGTTAAAGCGTTGGCTCGTCACGCCGAAGACCCGGGTTCGAATCCCCACATGGGCACAATGTGTGAAGCCCATTTCTGGTGTCCCCCGCCGTGATGTTGCTGGAATATTGCTAAAAGCGGCGTAAAACCAAACTCAGTCAGTCAGTCAGTTAAAAGTAGTCTTAAATCCAGTTCACTCACTTATGTTGTATCACCAGAGCATGGCAGCTGAGGGACACACCATTGGCCCAACTTGTTCTACGCCCGGCCAAGTAATATATGAATAAACTGAGGCTAGTTAATTAGTGTGAATGGTAATGAGGGAAACAGAATGCACGAGTCAACTACCTTGTGCAGATGTTGTGGATGATAGGTTTTATTAGATGAGTCATTCCATGGAATGGAAGTAGGTGTTTATAATTGAGCACAAGTTGTTAAGTTTGTCAAGTATACATTGCACTTAGTGCCATGGAAATATTTTGTAAGAAATGTCTATATTTTATTGAGAGATTATGGAGAGTTATAGATCCATGACGGCAGTATGTTTTACAAATGTATTAAACTGCATGAAAAAAGACAGTTTGCCTTTGCTTTTGTCACAGATCAGCTGATTGAATGTCAGCCTTCATGTCACTTATGGAATTGGCAGGCTCACGAGGAAGTTCCAGCAAGTATAAGTCATTTAAACACACCTTGATACCAATAACACAGAGACAATGCCTGAATTCCACCTGCAGCACTAGAAACACGGGGACAATGTATCAGCTCCACCTATGGCACTAGAAACACGGGGACAATGTATCAGTTCCATCTATGGCACTAGAAAGACGGGGACAATGTATCAGCTCCACCTATGGCACTAGAAAGACGGGGACAATGTGTCAGCTCCACCTATGGCACTAGAAACACGGGGACAATGTGTCAGCTCCATCTATGGCACTAGAAACACGGGGACAATGTGTCAGCTCCACCTATGGCACTAGAAACACGGGGACAATGTGTGTGGCACTAGAAACACGGGGACAAGTCAGCTCCATCTATGGCACTAGAAACACGGGGACAATGTGTCAGCTCCACCTATGGCACTAGAAACACGGGGACAATGTATCAGTTCCATCTATGGCACTAGAAACACGGGGACAATGTATCAGCTCCACCTATGGCACTAGAAAGACGGGGACAATGTATCAGCTCCATCTATGGCACTAGAAACACGGGGACAATGTATCGGTTCCATCTATGGCACTAGAAACGGGGACAATGTGTCAGCTCCACCTATGGCACTAGAAACACGGGGACAAAGTATCAGTTCCATCTATGGCACTAAAAACACGGGGACAATGTATCAGTTCCATCTATGGCACTAGAAAACACGCGGACAATGTGTCAGTTCCATCTATGGCACTAATATCAGAGGGACTTGCTGATCGGATCTCGGCTCTATCACAAGACAACCCTAGCGATCAGCATGTATCGCCTCCAGTAAAGCTGGCCTGCAGCCTTGGTCACGACCCGCAGCTTTAAATACCATCACTTCATCAGAAGTCTTCCCAGACATTCAAGTTATGGACCACAACTCCCGCTTCAAGGAGCGCTTCACGACTGCAAGCGGTAGACGTATTAGCCCTCACAATCCACACTGACCACTCAGACCTCCATGCAGGATCTTACATCCAGAGGCCGTCTCCATCCCAGGTACATACACGATTTGATCAACCCTCATCGAGGGACGGAGCTGGACTCTATCATATTACCCACGGCGCTAGCGTTCATGGACCCCGCATGGTGGAACATTCCAGACAATGCTGTCCACGGGACTCCAATCAGGATGCCCCAAGCAGATCGTCAACTGTTCATGGATGCATTACTCACATGGACTGGGTGCTCATATCGACAACAAGACGACATCAGGTCTCTGGGTGGAGGATTCTCAAGTCCATTTTGGAGATGAAGGCAGTTATTCCAGCTGTCCAGCACCCTTCTATACCTGTCGCCACGGACAATTCTATGGTAGTAGCCAACATCAACAGTCTCTGAGGAACCCACTCTCAAGTCCTCATAGTTCTCACGAGAGAACGTGACGACCTGCCTGACAGTCTGGAGTGCAACATTCCTAACAGAGACATCCCAGGGAAGATCAGTATCTTTGCCGACGCTCTATCTCGTCCGGGCAAGATTCCATCCACGGAATGGACTCCTTCAGGCAGATAGCACAAAAATTGCGTCAACTGCACACGTCAACAACCAATTGCCAATATCAGCCTAGTTCCAGATCCTCCAACCTCCAACCAAATACTCAACCTTTTGGGGATACTCCACTTATGGACCTGGCCTCAGACCACAGTTACCCCCATTAACTTTTACCATGACCCGGAAGGAAAATAGGAGAATATAGTGCCTTGTTGAAATGGGCTGTTCTGTGTGTGCTTATTTTTTCAGGGTGACTTGTGATAGCTTAAATGAAAGGTAAGACACTGTACTTTATTGCAAAATGTTTTTGGTCCACAATCTACACATGGTATTGACACCAGCCTTCCATGATTTGACCCAAAGTTCAAGGCTGTCTAGTGTGTTTCGGCTCGTAACTTCCGGTGACCATTGTTTACAGTGGATACAGCAAAATTGCCGTGGTCGATCCAGGCCCATATTTTGCCGGTTAAGTGACAAGTGGCAGGTTGGTAAGCATGCAACAGGAGAACAGCCTACGACCGATATTAATTATGGTGCACTGGCATGTCACTATAGATAGCAAAGAAGGAAAATGATTGTGGTCTGAGGCCACCTGGTCCGGCTCGGTTCCACAGCTTACTGCATGTCATCATCTCTACGTATTAGTTAACAAGTTGCTCATTATGTCAATCACTAAATTGTCGGACCCACTGCAGCGTATAATAACAAGCTAGCCTGTACACTCAGCAATTATATTCTGATGTGCCTGCTCCAGAGAGTGTTGATGTACAAACACTCGCTCACTGAACCTGTAAACACGCAAGACGCGTACACACACGTGCAATACAGGATAAAATACAAGTAGTTGTTTTACACGCAGGGAAATGTTTTAAAACACCATTTCACTGTGCGCACGCCATTAAGCTCACTGTGAAACGCGAGTACTGATTGTTCATTTAAAGTAGGGGCGGTGGGGTAGCCTAATGGTTAAAGCGTTGGCTCGTCACGCCGAAGACCCGGTTCGAATCCCCACATGTGCACAATGTGTGAAGCCCATTTCTGGTGTCCCCCGCCGTGATGTTGCTGGAATATTGCTAAAAGCGGCGTAAAACCAAACCGTGTCAGTCAGTCAGTCATTTAAAGTAATAAAATGCGACAAATGTTTTGAGACGAGCCCCGCTGTCACAAGAGAAGATAACTGTCCCGACCTCCTCTGATTTGTATCACCGTGTATCACAGTCGGTGTCTGTCACAACCAGCCATGCCGATCTCGACGGATTCATTTGGTAAAACAGCAGATGGCAAGGAAGTCACAAGGTGAGATGGTGTTAATGTTGACCATATGTAACAACATGGTCACTGATGGCCATCTTACTGTGAGCAGTTATATACTTGAGTTATTTAATGGGGTCAGAGAGGGTGTTATCTCTGCTGATGCTCACCGAGAATCTGGGACGCTATTGTCACGTTATAATTTGTACAGGCTCCTCTGTATACGACCCTAATACGACAGATAGTGAACTGACCACTAGCCCTGCATATGAATGAGCTTGAGCCAACACAGCCGTTTATACAGAATGAACATGAAGCTAGGGTTATAGAGAGCTCAAGGGGACCACTTATTTTAGCTCGTTGTAGCCGTATTTCGTTACATTCATTTTGACGAAAATATACAGCCAGTGGTGGTTTCTAAAATAGTTCGTTACATCCGTCAGTTCGTAATAGTGTTCGTAATAAAAGTAGTTTACTGAAGTTGTTTAGCATGTACATGGTCATCGTCATCAGGGCGGTGGGGGTAGCCTAGGCGTTAAAGCGTTCGCTCGTCATGCTGAAGACCCGGGTTCGATTCCTCACATGGGCACAACGTGTGAAGCCCATTCCTGGTGTCCCCGCCGTGATATTGCTGGAATATTGCTAAAAGCGGCGTAAAACCCAACTCGCTCACTCACTCATCGTCATCAGGGCTTTGGGGTAGCCTAGAGGTTAAAGCGTTCTCTGCTCATACTGAAGACCCGGGTTCGATTCCGCACCTTCCAGAACAAGAACAACGTCATTTTTGGTGTCCAGCCGTGATATTGCTGGAATATTGCTAAATGCGGCGTAAAACCATACCCACTCACTCACTCACTCACTCATTGTCATCACCTATATAGACATGTGAGTGCATCCTACGTGCTTACCAAGGACAGGAAAATATCGGTAACAATGCATGCATATCTGCCTACTTTCTAGCCAACATAACACCTGATACTCTAGGCGATATGTGATTTGGAAAAGATATATATGTTACCAGCTGTTGCAATCCAGGCCTAACGTTCTCCTGCAGCCGTAATGCTTGATGGCCCTTCAACATTTGTCGAGCGTTGAGGTAGCCTTGTGGTTAAAGCGTTCGCTCGTCACGTCGAAAATTCGGGATCGGTTCCCCTCATGGGTACAATGTGTGAAGCCCATTTCTGGTGACCCACACCGTGATATTGCTGGAATACTGGTAAAAGCGGCGTAAAACTAAACTCACTCACACTCATTAACATCAGGATTGACCCGTGAAGGTCCGCGTTAGAATATTGGCCTTCAGTAACCCATGCTTGTCGTAAGAGGCGACTAACGGGATCAGGTGGTCAGGCTCGCTGACTTGGTTGACACATGCCATCGGTTCCCAATAGCGATGCGATCGATGCTCATGCTGTTGATCACTGGATTGTCTGGTCCAGACTCGATTATTTACAGACCGCCGCCATATAGCTGGAATATTGCTGAGTGCGGTGTAAAACTAAACTCACTAACATCAGGATTCCTTCTGGTAACCCCTGTAGTGAGTGAGTGAGTGTAGTTTTACGTCGCTTTTAGCAATATTCCAGCAAGATCCCAGAACCCGTTCGAGCCCACTCGAATGAATAATGGTGCTCATGATATTAACCCCGAGTGTGTCGACCAGGTTCGGTTGTTCAAATAGTTTAGATGAACTGACAATATTACCCAGTTACACAATGTTGTTGCTATCAGTTTTCCATAGTATACCAATCTAACCTAATGGGTGTTATTGGGGCGCAGTGATAAATGCCGCACTACCCAGCAGATTGCACGGACTACCGGAATGTGCAACTGCACAGCAAACACCAGGAACATGCGACACTAGCCAACTTTCATAACATGTGCTTCTGTAACTAGCAAAGCTGTACCGTCTTAGACGTGTACAGTTGACATTATTGCGTTTGTTCTGCCAGATGATGCAGTTTGAATACGTGTTCTGGCCTTTTAGAGCCAAAGTTCCACTATTCAAGAACACGACACTGACCAAGAACAGCGTCACCGTAAGGTGTTTTCCTGTTTCAAATAAACCTTCCAGACCAAGAACAAGAAAATCAAGAGATGTTTCCTTATTGCAGATACACCTTCCAGAACAAGAACAACGTCATCGTGAGAGTCCTGGACTATGGCGGCATCATCACTGACATCATCGTCCCCGACAGGGACGGCAAGATGGAGGACGTCAACCTCGGCTTTGATGACATGGAAGGTGAGGACGAATAGCAACATACGTGATTCTCGATAACTTTATACTCAAAAATTACAGTGACAGTATATTTATAGACAGTATACTTATAGACAATGAAAACAACCACCGACGACCTGTAATGTTTTGAGATCATCTTCTGTTCATAATTTCCTCCACGTCACAAGGCTATGCTGGGGGCAGATTCATGGGTGCTCTGATCGGTCGGGTGGCTAACCGGATCGCTGGTGGACAGTTCAGTCTCGATGGCACTTCCTACTCCCTGTTTGTCAACAACGGACCCAACAGTCTGCATGGAGGAAAGAGAGGATTTGACAAGGTGAGTTTAAGTCTCCAACTGTGTTTGGCTTCACAACGATGCACTTGATAGCATCCCTTGCCTCGCCATCTCTCAATTGGTCTGGATCAGTTGATTGTGTCGAAGCTGTGAGGAAATCCTGGAAATGTTTCTTAATTACAGGCATAGAAGAAATCGTCAGGTGCTAAATATCACTATAGATTGTCCTCACAAAGCAACAGAAGAAAACCCTTCTCTGCCCTAATCTTTGAAATCAATTCTGAAGAGTTTAGTTATATGCAAAGTCTTATGTCGTGTCCTATATATGTAATTAGTCGGTATTGCAAATTTTGTAGAGATTCTGGGAGGCCAAGGTTGACGGAAACAGACTGAGCCTTAAATACATCAGCCCTGACGGTGAGGAGAACTACCCAGGGGAGGTAACTCTGACAGTCATATACGAACTGACTGATGAGAATGAGCTGATCATTGACTACACGGCAACATCGACCAAGGCAACACCTGTCAACTTCACCAACCATGCTTACTTCAACCTGGGAGGCCATGTGAGTTGCCACGTTTCATTAAACTTTCAGGACAAGCCAGATGTCAAAATGATATGTTTGTGAATTGATTGGTACAAACACCGTTGTGTCGAATTTACGGTTATCTCGAGGCAAAGCCTGCGTGGTCACTGCGTATTCCTTCCTTAGTCATCATTTTGCGTTTGTGTCGAACTTCGGATAACTCGAAGTAATTATATATAGGTCTCGACACAACTTCGGCACAACAGTATTTGACTATGTGATGACCATGCACCAATGAATAACTACAAGAACCAATGGGATCAAGGAGTCTTACACCGGTTTTAAGCTTGAAAACGGTGTAAGAATCTACACCGAAACCTCGCTGTATGCAATAATCTCACTTACTTCTAGAATGTCATCAAACATTAGGCTTTAAATCAACTATCACACTAACATGCACTCAAGCTGTTCGTAATACGATTAAATCATGTTGTTTGTTGTCTCTTGCCAGGGATCAGGAAGGTTGATGATCACGTGGTACAACTCAATGCAGAGTCTTTCCTACCAGTGGATGACAGCGCGATTCCCACAGGTAAATCAATAACTACTGGTTAACGACGTGTGGTGAAGATATACAGACAATTCTTTGAAATTCTACCTGTTATTACCTCATCATACTGAAGTGTCTGGACTGTTCCAGGTGAGATCCGGAAAGTGGAGGGAACGAATGGGACCTGAGGTCCCCTGTACGTCTTGGGGACCGGCTTAGGCAGGTGCCCGGTGGTAAGGGATTCGACCACAACTTCAATCTGTCTGTGTCTGGAGAAAGGCGCTTAGCAGCAAGGTGGGGACGTTGGACATGATGCCAATATTTACAATGGATTAATACGGTAACATACGGTTAAAACGAACTTAAAGGTAATCTACCTTTCAAAGAATCGGAGAAACCAGACATCCAAGCAGAGGCTTGTATCTCATGGTTTTGTTAAGAAATATATTCTGATATTTCCGGAGACGAATACTGTGATGTCTTCGTTTAAGACTTAATACCCGCACTCTGTTTGTCTCGAACGAATTGGTTTATTCGAAAAGATTTGTGTTTCGTATGACAGGTCTGCTGTAGTTGTTAAAACGAGACTTGTATTTTGCTACATAAACTGATTGCAGAGTGGAGCACCCGCCGAGTGGGAGGTGGATGGAGTGCCACACCACCGAGCCAGGGGTGCAGTTCTACACCGGGTTCTTCATTAAAGACCTGACAGGGAAAGGTGGTGCCAACTACTCCCAGTTTGGAGGATTCTGTCTGGAGGCTCAGCACTACCCTGACAGCATCAATCAGGTGGGTCAGCACTACCCTGACAGCATCAATCAGGTGAGTCAGCACTACCCTGACAACGTCAATCAGTTGGGTCGACACTACCGTGACACCATCAATCAGGTGGGTCAGCACTACCCTGACAGCATCAATCAGGTGGGTCAGCACTACTCTGACAGCATCAATCAGGTGGGTCAGCACTACCCTGACAGCATCAATCAGGTGAGTCAGCACTACCCTGACAGCGTCAATCAGTTGGATCGACACTACCGTGACAGCATCAATCAGGTGGGTCAGCACTATCCTGACAGCATCAATCAGGTGGGTCAGCACTACCGCCCTGACAGTGTCAATCAGGTCAATGGTCAGCACTACCCCTGACAGCATCAATCAGGTGGGTCAGCACTATCCTGACAGCATCAATCAGGTGGGTCAGCACTACCCTGACAGCGTAGGCAAGCATCATCAGGTGGGTCAGCACTACTCTGACAGCGTCAATCAGGTGGTCAGCACTGAAAATCAAATATTCTGAAAACAAAGACTATAGGAGTAATATTATGGTGGCTGGCCATGGTGAAGCCTTATTAGCTTATTGGAGACAACAGAATCTATTGGAAATCAATATACCGAGATAACTAGAATATGAGGACACTTAACAAGACACGTCACCAAGCTTCAAGTTCTTATTTTTCCTCAGTTTCTACCGTTTCTGAAAACTAAAAATATCAGTCTACAATCTATGACTTCTTTAAGGCAAAAATTAATATAAAGCTTCTATCTTTCTTTGTAATGCGGCAAAATATGCACCAAATCAATTTGTATACAAAAGTAAAACAAAAAATCTTAATAACAAAGATTCCTCTGTCTCCAAACTGTTCTCCGACATCGTTGTCCAACTGATTTCTAATGATTGAAAACAAAAGCAGATTTTAAAATATAGCCTCTGTCTCGACTTTCAGGGCCTACAGAAAAGTTCAATAAAGAAAAACGTAAAATGAAAACACGTTAAGAAAACACGTAATGGTGTTGTGTACAAAACAAACCATTTCCCCAAAAGGATGTTTTTCATCAATACCTTATCTTGGCTCCGCACCATATGTATTCCACAGCTGCCCGCTTTTAAGATTTTACTCTACATGTTTCAGCCAAGTTTCCAACACCGTACTACGTCCCGGGGAGATATACCGGTAAGACGACATCGTATACGTTTGAGTCAGCACCTGAGAAACGTGAACTCTCTGACCTTCCTTGTCGTATTGCGATCAACGATGCTCTACCCACACTGATAACTGAATACCTGGGTCTATGATAATTCAATATTTGGTTGTTATTTGGTCTTCGCCGACCTCTGGAACCTGATTCAACTGTTAGCATGTCCTAATTCAAGCAGCATGAATTCTTTTCTATCGGCTGGGCAATGGACAAAGGTATATTTTTACGAATACTTCACATATATAGACGCACCTCACTCGTCAATATGTCAACTAATCGGCACATCCTTCAAAGAAGTTACACAGTGGAAACCACTTCAGAAAAAAGAAGAACACCTGTTACATTTCACACGCAAATGAATTTCCAAAAATTTTAAAAACATCTTGTATATCTTTAATGACATCGTCAACTGGTTTCTTTATGATAAAGCCAAGACTTCGTAGATCCGACCAAAGCTAATACAATTACAGTTATTTTGGATTGTCTCGGTGCTCTGTTTTCTTGTTTCAATCCAATACGTTACCGCATCGGCATGCTCCATGAAATGTAACAACGTGTGCATGTGTCCGGAAGTGTGTTCTTGTTCTGTTGCTCACCAGGCACCATGCATGAACCAATTTCCGGCGATGATATTGCAGGAACATTGCTTAAAAGGAGTGTAAAAAACTCACTCACTCTTACTTTACCGATGTATGGTGTTGTAATAAGAGAGACTCGATCTTTACTCTTGACAGTGATCATGACCTTGAAACAAGATGTAAACAAACATGAACGTTTCCAGTCCGTCTGCCACGTGGTTCGCAATTTTTATGTTGTCAGATATGTTCAGGAACAGTAAGACTACAGATGGCTTTTTCTCACAGTCTGACAAATGGAAGTTCCCGCATCCCTGCCTGATGTAAACACTGCGGCGATCCTGGCCAAAGACAAACTTCTGTTACACGAGAGCAATTTTCCAGACAGGTTACCCATGACTTCTGAAAAGGTGCTCAATCGTCAAACATGCCTCACAGACATTCTGTGGATGCATTGCGTGTTCACTCACTCAAGGGTCCCAAGCTGTGATTATGCAAGAATGATAATAACAATAAAACAAACATTCACCTGTGGAGACATGATTATACTCGTATCTCTGCACATCGGATATGTTCTTGTTTGTTTAACCCCGCACTCAGCAATATTCCGTGCTACATGGCGTCGGTCTGTAAAAAATCGAACCTAGACCAGACAACCAAGTGATCAACAGCATGAGCATCGATTCACGCAATTGGGATACGACGACATGTGTCAACCAAGTCACCTGACCACCCTGATCCCTGTTAGTCGCCGTTAACGACATGAATGGGTTATTGAAGATCAATTCTAACCCGGCTGTATAACTGTCAACATTTCGAGCAGGAGCATGTTAGTTATTCGGCGGTACTGGATGAGTCTCATCATAAAATATGATAGAAATGATTTTGAGATGAACCTCTACGGTCACAAGGGAAGATTAACCGCTTCCTAACGCCATTCATGACTGATAAGGCGTGTATCAACTGCCCGTCTCCCTCGACACAA